AAAGGGGAGCCGATAGGGTCCAATTTCTCATCCGCTCCAAACCTCGGCGGGTTGGATAATGTCTTTGAACCTCCCCCACCAGATGTCTGCTTGGAGAGGACATTATTTTACAGAGTGATTTCTGGTAATTTCTAGCCATCTTATTGTAGGCATGCACACCTCCGTTTCGACGCACTTGTCGTACAAGTATTTTAACGAAAGCTCCGGGCTATTTGAGCCGAACATTTTTGAGTACCAGCATCGAGTGGGATTATATCCCGAAAGAAAAGCAAATTTTTTCCTAACTTTTGTGGTGTTGTTCAGAGCTATCCAAAAAATCAGCCCAATTATTCACTCCAATTACGATTTTCGACTGAAGGAGTCACCTGATGATGAGCAAAAGACTAAAGATATCTTCCAGAAGATCTCAAAGCTTTCGTTGAAATGCCCAAACCTTTTCAATGAAAAATTGCTATTTAACACAAAAAGCAATCCAGATGCCCTTCTTTTGAAGCAATCGCTCAGGGACCATTTTCAGAATATATCGCGGATTTTGGATTGTGTTGGGTGCCAACGGTGCCGTCTTTGGGGCAAAATCCAAATCATTGGATTGGGAACAGCCTTAAAGATCCTATTTTCGTATCCGGAAGATATCACCAAATGTTCTCTTTCTCGCGTGGAGCTCGTTGCACTGTACAATACGCTTGGAAAATATTCGGAGACTCTATTTTTCATCCAAAGGCTCGATAGTTTGGTGGCCGAATCCGGTGTTTCTGGAGAAAAAACAGAAGCACCTACATCTTGGAATGACGTGGCATTTTCTTGTCTTTTGGCTTTTATTTTTGCACTTTTGTTATTGGTTTTTTGCAGTTGTTTATACATTCGATATAGAAAAGGGGCAATCAAAGCGTGTTCCCTCTCTTGTTCATCCGAATCTGCCGAAAACTCGATTTATGCTTTAAATGAAAATTCCCCATTGAAAACACATGGTTCCACGGGAAGACTCCAGAAAAGACTGAATAGGAGCACAGGGTCTCTTTTTGAAGAAGAAGAAGAATAATAGGGTTGGCCATCAACTACAAGTTTGGCCATCAATTGCCCAGCCATTGTATTATAAAAATTAAATTTATTGTTTTTAAAATAAACAAATTTAAGTTTACACGATCCAATGCAGGGGGGAGGTATGGTGTCCATGGCAGTTTAATTAATTTACGCAATAGTTCTTTTATTCACGAATTCAAAAAAAGTCCTTGCCGTTAACAAAGGCATCAGGAGCAATGATCATGCAGCCGGCCTGCCCATTAGAGTGTCCATAGAACAGAAAATCAGGGAAGCATCTATAGCTTTTCCATTTCCCGCAGATTATTACTACCTGCCGTTTCCTGGCAAAGCGCAAGTCCGATCTGAAAATCCGGCAAACATGCCCACCAAACGCGCTAGAAGGAGAAAGCACAGAAAACAATTTATTTTGCCGCATATTTGTAATAAATTGTTTGCGTAGCCTCAGCCATTTCCCAATCGGTCTCCGTTATGTCTCCGCCGTTTTCGCGGTGTGTGTTCCACTTGATTGTGACGCTCGTGTATGAGTTTGACCAATCCGGATGGTGGTCACGTCTTTCCGCAAGCATTGCAATCGAGGCGATGAACGAAAAGGCATCGTTGAACGAACTGAATGTAAATTGCTTTTCAAGAAATCTAGGCGCCGTCTTTTGTTGGTTGCCGAGGTGCGATACTCTCCATCCGCACTCGAGTAAACGCTTGCAAGATGCCTTCATGAATTTATATTTAAAATTAAATGGCCTGCCATCGTTATGGCTCTTTCGATGGCATTCTCACAAAAACGCAAAGTATTGTGCATCTGCCACCGCCTGTGATAAGGGGTGTTGGGTTTGTGTTAGCAAAAGGCCCCTGCAGGCAGATCCAAGTCTGAAAAGATAACCGAAAGCGGACTATGATGTCCCAAAAGAGAATGTGCAAAGCGCGGCGCTTTGATCGCGCATAGGCTCTGTTTGTCTTTTGTGGAGACTAGCTCCAATGTTATTTTTTACGGCTCATACGTGCTGGTCTCGGCTCAGATGTCTATAGATGCGGCTTTGCATTGGTTTGGAACATTGATTGCGAATGGGAGAGTTTCCCTGATTGATGCGGTTATTCTAACACAAGCTCGATACAACTTTGCGTCCCATGCAGTTTATCAATATTGATCGGGAACAACCCAAGCACATCAAGCTACTTTAAACCCTTATTTTCAACAGCGTCCCTTGCCATTAGCAGCAGTTGAGCCTCCAGCTCGGGAATCTTCATCACAGCCTGTTCCAGTGCAAAGATCCTCATATCGAGTTGCTCCTTTTTCTGCCGCTCAGAGGCACTTGATCTGAGCGACTCGCCAAGCAAGACTCCACCGGCAATCGCGAAAATCACAAACTCGCCAATAAAATTGGCTAAAATTAGCCGCTTCTGCGCATCTTACCTCCCAATTGGATTGCCTTTTGGTCGTTTAACGGCCTGATTTCAGGAGAAGTCTCGCCCGACACAACTCTTGAACGAAGATTGACCTCCATCTTGTGGTACGATTGCGAGAGCCTGATGCATATTTCCCTGAACCTCGGATGTTCGGCTGCCTGGTGTGTGACAATCTTTGCTATTGGCTTTGAAAGTGTCCGGACCAACAGATAGCCAAGCTTGATGAGGGGAACCGACATCCAAATGAAAGCGTTCCAATCGACAATGTACAATTAAAAGAACAGTGTAAGGGTTACAACAACACCGAAATGCTGATGGCACCAATTTTTATTTGTAACTTTTGGCAATTTAACATGGCCACGCTTAAGGACAGTAAGCCTCGCTCTTTAAAGCCATTGACTAGTTCAGCTGCGCCTAAAGTCTATTAAAAACATTGCAAAGATCACAAAGTCCATGAAGATGATTGCAAGTACGAAGCTGGCTCGCGCGCAAAAGGCAATGGACTGCGGCAGAATCTATGGGGCAGCAACGCAAAGTAAGCCCTTGATTGTACATGGTCCGTGTAGCAATTTATGAACATTTAAAAGTCCCCTCGCCAGCGCAAAACGAAAACTTTGCTCCTCTACTTATCGCGGTGTCTTCCGACAGGGGGTTGTGTGGTTCGATCCACTCATCGATCTCTAAATTGGTCAAGAAGAGCGTCAAAGACACAATTAGAGAAATGCCAAACTCCTCACCCGCAGTGCTAGTGCTTGGAGATAAGGCGAAACCACAAATTGCGCGCGAAGCGAGGTCTTATATTACAGGCCACTTTAATCAATTGGGAAGAGTGATCCCTGTCTTCCTTGATGCCTCTAATATCGTAGATACTTTAGAAAAAGAGTTTCCCATCAAGCCGTCGGTGATAAAAATTTTCTATAACCACTTCAAATCAGTTATTGCCTTTGAAAGCAGTGAAATTACCGCCTTGCGGGCGGATTCTCTCCTGTCCATAGGTTGGTCAATTCAAGTAACTTTTAGACGGCATTGAAAAGTATGAGGTTGACGAAGAGGCACTAATGAACTATGGCGACTTTTTATTTGCTAGCCAGCTTTTTTGGACCCTCTCAGAGGGTCATGCCGCCGAAATGGCCGCCAAGCGAACGGCAATGGAAAATGCCACAAAGAATGCAGGCAAGTGGTCCATATTATAATATCATAGGTGAAATCATCGTACGTCTGACGATGAAATACAACCGGACTCGCCAGGCTGTTATTACCAATGAGCTGGTGGATATCATTACAGGTGCATCTGCTCTTTAGAAGGAAATTAAACTTTACTTTTTAATTTGCTTGACATTTGACATGTGTAAATAACACCAAAAAATAGGACAACTCACCTGAGTCCGTGATGCGCCAATTGGAGTGCAATTTTTATCCGGAAATTGATCTATGAGTAAGAAGCCACACGAACAAGCTTCCAAGAGATCATTTGCAACCGCTGCTGGAAAAAAGGTACGTAAAAAATTTCCCTCGTTGGTACGGTTCTTTTCGCAGTTTAAGATTTGCCGATCTTGTGAGGATGAAAATCGGACAATTTCACCGGCGAAACCGTTGAAAGTCGCCTCGCAACGCGTCACATCGATCTCTTTGAAAGACTTTCAGCGAGTAAGAACAATTGGGACAGGCTCTTTTGGCAGGGTTTTTCTTGTCATCCATTTGGAGACGAAAAAGCCATATGCATTGAAAGTGCTTAACAAGCGTCGAATTCTCGAGACACGCCAATTGCCACACACAATCAACGAGCAGAAGATCTTGTCATCGTTGCAGCACCCATTTATGGTATATTTGGTCGCTTCGTTCCAAGATCCAGCGAATCTCTATCTGCTAATGGACTATGTCCCCGGTGGTGAGCTCTTCAGCATTCTGCGTCGGCTGGTGGTACGTTTAATTTTTGCTCTTCTTAGCGGTTCTCAAATGAGAGCTGCAGGTTCTATGTGGCGGAGTTAATTTTAGTTCTTGAATATTTACATCGGAATTCTATTATTTACCGCGATTTGAAGCCAGAAAATGTTTTGCTAGACGACAAGGGGCATGTTGTGTTGACAGACTTTGGCTTTGCAAAGATGGTGCCTGCAGGGTTGACGCGGACGCTTTGCGGCACGCCAGAGTATTTGGCGCCAGAGATTATCCTGGGCCGAGAGTATGGCATTGGTGTTGATTGGTATGCACTCGGCGTCCTCATATATGAAATGCTGGTGGGCATGCCGCCATTTACACCGCGCTCCAATACGAACCTTTACGAGGTGGTGCTTGAGGCCTCATGGAAGTTCCCTGCATATCTTGATCCGCTTGCCGTCGATTTGATCCTGCGGCTGTGCACTCCAGATCCGACGGTCAGGCTTGGTGTGTTGCTAAATGGCGCCCACGATATTATGAATCACCCGTGGTTCGACGACATCCAATGGGAGCAGCTTCTGAAGAAGAATATTGAGCCGCCGATTGTGCCAACGTTGACGTCGCCCACGGACGCCCAGTATTTCGAAACATATAGCGAAGACGAGTCGCTGTTCTACCCCCCCTCCTATGTGGAGCAAGTCTATATTGACGAGTGGGACTACATGCCCAAATAGACTTGTGTAAATAAACCGATCTTAGAGTATGTACCCCTATGACTCCGCAAATTCGCACGTCACATTAGCATGTGGGGACATGCACGTGGGTGTGAATTGCACATTTACGGGTTAGGACCAATCACATTGGGCAGCCAACAGTAGGGCCAAATTTCGGGATTTACATGTACGCTTGCAATTGAATACTGCGATGCGCTGGTTAGCGCATGCCTCTATCAAAGTGTACGATGATCTTGATGCTCTGGTGTATTACAAAAAGTAGTCTAGGGCACTCTTGGAGGTGTCCTGGTCGCTGCTCCGCGGGGAAGGGTCGAACTGCGTGCTAAAGCAGGAGAGTTAAGGTTACCAACAAAACATACAATGTCGCTTGCAACTGCTGGTCGATCTCCATAATAGCGGCCTGGTTGCTGCATCGATAACAATAGTTGGGTGCCGAGAATAACGTAACCACTGCCTGGTCCTGGCTCCAATTGTATCCTTGCATCACAAGCTGGTGAGCACGAGCAATCATCTTTAGGTTGTTTCTGGTGTTGAATGCTTGCGAAATATCAGACCCGAAAGTGTATCCGGCACCTCGAGGCGAAAGCCCCCATCCATTGCGGTCATCAGGGTCTGACCAGAGCAGGTCAACCATGGCGCCGTCGGCGGGAACCTCTTGGACACGATCTATCGTGCGGATCTGGTCGATCGTCTCGATGGACGGCGACAATCCGCCATGCAGGCAAAAGATCTCAAATAAGCGGACGAATTTACATTACCTATGAAATGAGAAGCCTCTATCATGCCTAGGAATAAGTGATCAATAAGTCCCCTTTGGGTACCTATGAATCAGTAAATAAATTTGTGCCACCTCGTCGTCAATGAGTGCTGTTAGAGGTAGATAATCAAAAAGATCTGTAAAATGACGCCAAACGGTTGGTGTGCCATATTTCTTAACACACTCATCGTAAAACCCATAAACCTGTGTAATCTGCCGTGATTCATGGTTTCCACGCAGAAGCGTAATACAAGCAGGGTACTTGACCTTGAGAGCAAGCAGCAGAGAGATCGTCTCCACGGAGTGGTAGCCCCTGTCCACGTAGTCGCCCATGAAGAGGTAGTTAGTATACGGTAATGGACCGCCAATCTCAAAGAGCTCTATAAGGTCCCAGAACTGCCCATGGATGTCGCCACATACAGTCACTGGGGCAGTGACATTCTGCACTGCACCCTCCCCCATGAGAATCTCCCGCGCCTATAAAATTAGCACCAACAGGATGGGAACATAAATGCCATCAATATAAATGTTTGAGCAGCCAAATTATGGATGCAGCCAAAAAATTGGCTGCTCAAACACTCGAAAAAATTATCTGCATCGATGGGTTGATCAATAGATAGACCGGGAAGTGGCTCATTCAATGTTACCTTGTCACAGAGCAATTGTACATTCGCTTCGGATAGGAGACGACAGCACTTGAGCTGCTCGATCCATTCATCCACATTCTGTGATGTGATGAATGCGGAAGGTGCAGACACTGTCTCCTGGTTGAGGATGATCGCAGAGGCCTCCGCGTCGATTTGGGGATTGGCAGGCTCCTCGAACATCATTGGAATTGGAAAATTAAATTACAATTTCGAATTAAAATTTCCAATTCCAATGACTAAAAGGAGCTCTGCTCTCTCCAACGTGAACAAATCAAACGCCGATTCAAAAAAAGGTGATGATGATGATGGTGATGGAAAAAGCGCCGCAGAGAGTGGACATCGGCTACAACCGAAGGATGGGAAAATCTCGCTGCGCATCCTAGCGTCGTCCAAAGAACGAAAAGGCGACAACTTGCTTCGCATTACTCTCAAATCTCCATCTATGGAAGGGCAAACTCCACCACCAATAGAGCTAGCGAGTCCAAAGACTGTGCAGGAGCCGTTTAATACACTGGTCGATATGGCAGAATACATGAATGGACTTCTGATGGAGCAATTAGAGCCTGGAGATCCGCCTGAAGGCTATGCACCACGACAACTTGCATTGGTATTCGAGACACTGCCTTCGAGGAGAAGATATCCAGACTATTATAAGGTCATTGAGCGACCACTCTCGCTAAAGTCCATCATGGAGCAAGTGCGCGCTGGGCGTTATGTCACTAAGGATGAACTGATGGCAGACTATGAAACCATGTTCAAGAATGCACAGATCTATAACCAGCAAGATTCCATCATCTATAAAGACGCATCTCTTATGCTGGGATTCATCAGGAAGCTAGCTCCGCGACTCACCCTAGCAACTCGACGCGAGAGGAAAGCAGCGCCTCGGCGGGAGTCTCCTGTCGAAAATGAGCTTATTTCGGTTGATGATGGGGAGAGCGATCGTCGGCGAAACAAAGTGGTAGTGCAGGCAGCTCCAGTACCACAAAAAGTTGTCTCCACCCCGCTGCAAGTACTTTTTACGGCGGCCGCTCGAGACGACATTGCAACAGTACTAGCGTTACTGAACCGCCCGCCAGAAGCTTCTAGCTCCAGAAGCCCTGCAGATGCCAGACTGCCTACCATCGACACAATCACGAGGCATTATGCGGTCTGGCCCTCTCTACCGCAAGAAGTAGCTGCTTTGGATAATGTACGGTGGTCTGTTGCTCATTGTGCCGCTTATTTTGGCGCGGTGAACGTTATAGACGCATTGGTGGAACGCTGTGGCGTAGGCGTGTTAGAAAGTCGTGACGCTCTTTACGATTCTACGGCGCTTGCTTGGGCCGCCTTTGGCAAGCAGTTTGAAATGTGTGAGCGGCTTATTATTGCCTACGGCGCTTGTACGACCGTCAAAAACTGGATGTTACAAACGCCATTGGAGCTTGTCGGTGCGGATCTCAGTGCTGAGCGGATCGGGGAGTGGCGTGCACTATTGGTTTCTACTCCAGCGGAAGCCCCTCCAGAAGCCCATCGTGTTTCATTGCTTGTTTCCAGTTTGGTAGCGCGCGTATTGCGAATGGAGCATTCCGGACGGCCTTACTCAGCGTTGCTTGGGGCGGCCTCCTGGCGCTCGCTAGCGATGGCAAAACCTGTGGTGACAGAGTTTCTAGTAGAGGCTATCCGGCGGTGTCGCGAGTGCCAAAGATTCGTCTCACTTCGATCCGCATCTACAAAGTCAGAGGACGCCACAAATGCCGTTGCCGAAAGCATTGTGGCATTTCTTGCTAAAAGCCTGCCACGGGAGTGGACACTCATTGAGAGTCGCTGTCAAGCATCAGGGCCGCACCTGCCTCCTGCTGTTGGGATGCCTGCAATTCTACGGTCACAAATTTCTTCTGCTGCGGCAGTATCGCTGCCATTGCCACTTCGGCGTTGGGATCGGTCCACGGCTTCGCCACCTGCATTTTACATGCCCCGGAGACTGGCTCCTCCGCCACCATTGCAACACCAAATGGTATCTGGAACAACCGCATCGGCTTCTGGATTGACGCAACTCCATCATCAACTGGCGGCGAGGCCGCCATCGACGTTTGGATTGGCACTTGCCTCATCGTCTGGCGAACAGTGTGCCGGGTCCATCTTTGTCCCTGTTCGTGTATTTCTTTCAGATGCAGAGCAGAAGTGGCGCCATTCTTGGGCATTGACATCGGTAAATGATGCGCGTGCTACGTCCATCCATGTACCTGATGGCGTCGAGATGCTTTTATTGGAGTTAGAGCTGGAGTCCAGCACGGCGGGAGACCAGGAGCAGGATTTTGTCCTGTTACATAACCAAACAGAACGCGTAGAGCCGCTTGCAGAGCGGCCGAGGATCAGGTTTAAGGTCCACTTGTCTGTCACACGACCCGTTGCCTTTGACTCAGTTGAGCTTTTCCAACGCGGCACCGAATACGGCGGTCTTTTTCTTTTTGCGACCATGTTCCTTCATGTACATGCATCAAAGGAATAGAAGTGAAATGCACTTATGGATAGACTTGGACTGGTGAACCCTCTGGGAAAGACCGAATTCCTAGCAAATGGGTGCAATGTTGAGCATCACATTAAATCTCGGTCTCTTTAACATTTATTGACCTTAAGACGTTTTTATGCACTTGATTTTCCAGGAGCGTTTAAGAAAAGCTTTATTGCAGTGCATGGTCCACCTCCCTTTTATAAATCTTTCCATTGAGTGATTGAGGTTCCGTATAGCATGCTTAGCGCAGATCCATCTGGCCAAAAAAGTAGCACGTATAAGAATCCAGTAGTAAAATTTACTCGAAACTAACTAGCCACATTTGCAAGCATTGAGGGGATTTTTTCAATGGATGCGAAATGAGCATAAAATGGCGAGCTTGTTCTTCACAAAACTGTCGATTTCAGCAAAGCCTTAACAGGTATTTTCTCCTGGTTTTGCTTTTCATTTTTACTCCTTTCTTAAGCAATACTCTTAAAAAAGGACGAAAGAGCAAGCTCTCGCTTTAACTTTGGATCCTGTTTTTGCCAAAAGAAAGGAAACAAGACCAGTCGCTGCTGAACAAGAGAAAACACAGGCACTCAATCTGGTATCAGCTAGAAGCCCGCATTTAAAGTTTGTCATTCAGAAAGGGCCATTAATAAGTAGAAATGACAGATCTCAGCCTTCAACAGTTGCTGAAAGGGTGCCGGTGGAAAATTGTATGTACCTAGCCTTTTTTGCAGCTCAAACTTGAGACATCATCATCATATTGAGCCCAAGCTTTTTGATCCTAGCCCTAATTTTAGTGCTAGCCTCAACCCTGTCTCTGACGAAGAGAGAATATCAGTTTCATGCATAGTTGCTATTGAGGGCTGAAAACCGATAAAAGGAACCCCCACACCTGTCATTTTCAAGTGACTGCAAATGAGGAGGGCAAAGCCTTATCACTAACCCGTCTTTACCGCCAAGACTATCGATAGCGCTGTTTAGTACAACTTTCCTCTAACCTCAACCCAAACCCTAACATTTTAAGTAAAAAAATAATTCGAAATTTTACTTTTTCATGTCGCTGCACCTGCCTAGTCGGCTTTCAGAGCGTGCACGGCAAAAGAGCAGGGCACTTGAGGGCGAGACCATGTCTAGTAGAATGCTTTACTGGAACACCTTCAAGGTTACACACCGTGTTGAAACAGGCTCCCCGGCAATGGAAGTCCTTTTCACGCCGCTGACTGAAACTCTTACATGGGCTACTGGAAGCACCATATCCATTTGTAGCGGCTCCTCTACAGAAGTCCAAAAAAGGCTTACCAGATGCAAAGAGGACATTACGTGCATCGCATACAGATCAGATGGGCGACTACTACTTTCTGGCTGTGTCTCTGGATTAATGCAGCTGCATGATGTGAAGAGCCGATCAATAATGCGGACACTTTCAGGACATACACGAGCTGTCACGGCGATTTCTTTTCTAGGAAACAGCGGGCGTGCGATTTCTGCCTCAGAAGATATGACAGTGGGATTGTGGGACATCCTTGGTGAAAAGATGCTTTCCCGTTTTGAAGGTCATACGGATTATGTAAAATCTTTGGCTTTTTCGCTAGACTCGAATCCAGATGTTTTCTATTCAGGTATCATATTGTGCTTTTAGGGTTAGGGTCATACGATAAGAGCATCCGTTGCTGGGACCTGCGGACCGGAGAGACTTTGGCCGCCTTCCAACACGAGGAGCCTGTAGAGTCCATGGTCATCGGCTCTGGCTCAATTTTGTATTCAGCAGCTGGTTCGAAAATCTACGGATGGGATCTAGTTTCGTCAACGGCCTCAAAAAGCCCGCTCTTTTCTTACACGCCGCACCAGAAGACTATTACAGCGCTGGTTTATGACCGAAAAACGATGTCAATCCTCACGGGCTCTATAGATCACCATGTGAAGGTGATTGGTATTGATCCTGCGACCGGTGAATTGAGAACTGAGCGCACTTTTGTTTATGGAAGCCCCATCCTGTGTGTTGTACTCAATGTACGAAGCTTGATTATATTGACGTTTTGTAGGATGGCGGCAACCGGCTTGCTGTTGGAATGGCCAGCGGACAAATCTCAATTAGGGAGCGAAAGGAATCTCCCCCTATCGCTAAAACTGCAACCAAATCGACGTCGCGAATTGTGGTGGAAAAGGCCTCTCTTCCAAAATATCGGGAAATCGATTCCCTGTTGCGCTCATTTGATCACAGACGTGCGCTAGATGTCGCTATTGCCGTAAGTGCTTCAGAATTTATTTTATCCTACATAATAGTCGCCGTCTGCCTCTGTTTTGGCGCTCTTGTTTGAAGAATTTGCAAGGCGAGGCGTGCTTTTGGCAGTATTTTCCGGAAGGTCTCTGGAATATTTGAAACGCCTCTCACTAGTGCTACTGCAATATTCGACAGATCCTCATCATGCGCCCATCATGATACGATCTCTACAAGTACTTGTTGACTTTTTGGAGTCCTTTTCGATTAAAAACCCCGTTGAGCGTCAGAGCATTCTTGATTTGCTTTCAAAGTTCCGTGTTAGGATACAAAATGAGCTTGCTCTTCAAGAAGAGGTTTCCGCCGTCTCTGGTGTCCTGGAACTCCTGCTGGCCAACACCACGTCGGTTTGATGGCCATTCTTGGTATAAATTAAAATTAAAATTAAAATCAAGGGCTAGGGTTAGCGTTGCAAGCTCTTGGCTTTGTGCGAAAACGGATGTTGCCATGCAGCGACAGTTCATTACATATTTAAATGTGCTCATTCGCGACTCGCAACTGATCAATATTGCAAATTTCCATTGATTATTAATTCAATGACTATAGCCAATCCAAACTTTGTCGCCTCCATTAAGATCGATTCTCCAAATTCATACGTAGATGTGACGAAAAATTGCAGAATTTCCACACTAAATTACGAAGATACAAGCGTTTCGTTTGACCCTGCATCTCCGGGAAATGCTATCCTTCGCCCCTACAAACAGCAATATGTTTTTGAAACCCGCCTTAAAGTGCCCAAAACAGGCCTAATGCTTGTCGGTCTTGGCGGAAATAATGGATCCACGCTATTGGCGACGCTTACTGCCCATCGCCATGCTCTTCAATGGCGCACAAGATGGGGTGTCCAGAAGCCAAATTATCTTGGTTCACTCACTCTGGCTTCTAGTCTGCGATTGGGCCGAGGTGACAACGGGTCTGTATATGCTCCGTTTTCCTCGTTCCTTCCGCTTGTTGATCCGGCCTCGATGCCTGTTACCGGATGGGATATTTCCTCGGCATCCATGAGTGAAGCCATGACGCGAGCCCAGGTTCTTGAGCCTGACCTCCAAGCACAACTTGAGCCGCTGATCGGAAATATCATACCACTTCCTGGCACATATGATCCAGACTTTATTGCAATGAATCAGGGCTCAAGGGCAAATAACCTGATTCCGGGAACCAAAAAGCAGCAATTGGAAAAGCTACGATCGGACATTCGCACTTTTCGTGCCCAGCACAACCTGGACCAGGTGATCGTGTTGTGGACAGCGAATACAGAACGATTTTCGCAATTTCCCGGGCAAAATGCAGAATCGCTTATCGAGGCAATTGAGAAGGGCAACGACTCCGAAGTTGCGCCTTCAGTTTTGTATGCCGTTGCTGCAATATTAGAAAATGCCCCCTTTATAAACGGATCTCCACAAAACACGCTCATTCCTTCTGTTGTAGATCTTGCCCTGCAAAAAGGTGTCCTTGTCGCTGGAGACGACTTTAAATCCGGCCAAACGAAGCTCAAATGTGTTCTGGTAGACTTTCTTGTTTCTGCAGGAATTAAGCCGATTTCGATTGCCTCCTACAATCACCTGGGTATGCCTTTTTTCTTTGCCTTACATTTAGGTAACAATGACGGCCTCAATCTCTCCTCGCCCTCGCAGTTCCGATCCAAGGAAATATCGAAATCCGGTGTCATCGAGGACACGGTTGCATCCAACATGATACTCTATCCGGATGGAAAAGGCCCTGATCACGTTGTCGTCATCAAGTATACTCCTGCAGTTGGCGATTCCAAGCGTGCTCTTGACGAATATGAGAGCGAAATCTATTGCGGCGGTCGTCAGACAATGTCGATCCATACTGTCTGCGAAGACTCGCTTCTTGCGGTGCCGCTGATGATTGATCTTGTTTTGCTTACTGACCTTCTTGGTAAAATTCTTTGGTTTGTAATTGATAGGGCGCGTGCAGGTGGTAAAGCCTGACAATATGCAAATGCACTCTGTTCTGTCGCATCTTTCCTATTGTCTGAAGGCACCTCTTTTTCCAAAGAGCACACAGACAGTAAATGCATTGCAGTCGCAGAGACTTGCACTGGAAAACTTTATGCGTGCGCTACTTGGTCTGCCTCCATCCACCCACATGGACCTCGAAGTAAGGCTTTGTCCCAAATAAAGAAACTTTTTGGCGTTTTAAACCATACATCTTGCGCCGTCTTTTTTTTATGTGGCGTTGGAGAAACACAGACGATGGGCACATAAATGTGCGTTTGCTTGAAAATTGTTTAACTGGCACACTTTAGCGGCGGAATTGATCATGTCGATTGATAATGCAACTTTGGAAATAAAAATAGCCCATTTAAGGCCAATCATGGATTGGGGTCGCATATGTGCCACCAGACCCCTTTATTACAAGGACGCCGAAGCAGAAAGAAGGATCCAGTACCTTATAACCGACCAACTCTAACCCTGTGTTTGATTGATCTCTTTCACTTTCAAGTATTTTGAGGCAGAGAAATTCTGTGGACAGCCAAGTATAGAGGCGGGAAGACC